GCATATATATTCACGAGTCTTGTCACAGAATTCGTTCTATATTGTCGTATTCATGTGTGTGTGTCTGTGTGTGTGCATATATACATATATACATATTTGTGTGTGTGTGTGTATATATAATATATATATATATATGATATATAATATATATATATATGTAAATGTATATATATATATATATATATATGTACAAATGTACATACATATATTATATATATATATATATATATATATATATATATATATATATATATATATATATATATATATATTATACGTATATACACACTGCATATGTAAATATACATATACATGTATTCATACACACACACACACACACACACACACACACACACACACACACACACACACACACACACACCACACACACACACATATATATATATATATATATATATATATATATATATATATATATATATATATATATATATATATATATATATATATACATAACAGTGCCCTTGAAAACACAACCTTTTCTCTCTAATTACGGAGTCTTTCTTAAGAATCAAAGCAACAGAATCTCCCAGAGGCCACCGGGAGAGTTTAGCAAATTGCACTGCAAAGAGAATTTTTATTTTTTTTCTTATTTTATTATTACTATATATACAATATATAATATATATATATTACATATATTATATATATATTCATTTTTTTTTTTATTTACCTATTTATTTATTCTTTTGGTGCAAGCGAAAACCTTAATGTCTACAAGGATAAGTTTAATGGCAAGCAGTGGTAAATATTTTATTTTTCCGCAGCTTTGCTTTTTGTGCCGCATATATTATTTCCATTCTCACTTTTCTCTCTCTCTTGCCTCTGTCTGTCTCACTGTAACCTCTCTCTATTTATCTATCTATCTATTTGTCTATATTATATCATCTATATATCTATTTATTCTCTCTCTCTCTCTCTCTCTATCTCTCTCTCCTCTCTCTCTCTCTCTTCTCTCTCTCTCTCTCTCTCTCTCTCTCTCTCTCTCTCTCTCTCTCTCTCACTCTCTCTCTCTCTCTCTCTCTCTCTCTCTCTTCTCTCTCTCTCTCTTCCTCTCTATCTCTCTCTCTCTCTCTCTCACGAGGAAAAAGAGAGATATGAAAAGGAGAAGGAGGCGGAAGTAAACGGGAGTAGAAAGCAAGGGAGGAGTTGAAGGAAGAAAGGAAAAAGGGGAAAGAGTAAAAAATAATAAAGATAAAAATCTAGGGAGAGAAGGAACGATGAAGAGGAAAAGGAGAAGGGAAATGAAGAATCGAGAAAGATCCTGGGGAAGAAGGAAAAAAATAGGAAAGAAAAACGGAGGATGAGAATGAAAGGAAAGAGAGAAATGAGGTAACACAGCTTGCATAGGATATAGAAAGATAAAAAACGAAAAAAAAAAAATAGAACACAAGATCGATCTGAAGAGAAAATTAAGAAAATCAATCGAAATTCAGTGGATTAAAGGAATATCAATTCCAGGGAAGCTCTAGTGCAGGAAGTAAAAAAAAAAAAAAAAAAAAAAAAAAAAAAAAAAAAAAAAATCGGCATTTTCAGAGAAGGAATTTTCGGAAGAGTTCCAGAAAGTTCTACTGAAAAAAGATTTACAATGCATGAGGAGAAATTCTACAAGGCAGCCGAGATTTAATTTCAGAAAAAAAATAAAGCTTTGAGATGTCCCCAAAATTTCCACACACACACACACACACACATATGTATACGTATGATATTTCCGAGGATATTTCAAAGCTTTATATTTCTGTGTGTGAATATATATGTGTGTGTGTGTGTGTGTGTGTGTGTGTGCATTTATATATATATATATATATATATATATATATATATATATATATATATATTATGTATGTATGTATAATGTATATATATGTATATATGAATATAATATACATATGTGTGTATGTAAACACACATACGCATGCATATATATATATAAATATATATATATATATATATATATATATATTATATATATATATATATATATATATATATATATATATTATATATATATATATATATGCGTATATATATATATATATACATATATAAATAAATATATATATCATATAATACACGCACAGATATACATACATATGTATAAATTCGTGTTCGTGTATATGTGTATCTATGTAAAATTGTGTATGCATGAGTAAGATTTTAGATGTTATGAATATCTATCTATCTATCTATATATACATATATATAATCTATAATATATAATTTCTATCTAATATATATATCATGGAGAGACAGGGGCAGAAGCAGTAGAAAGAAGAAACGGTTTTTCTGTGGCCATCGAAGTCTCTATGGAGAAAGCACTTCACTGTCTTTTCTTCTGACTTGAATGCTTTCCAACTGGATTTCTAATATAGTTTTCCAGTGAGACGCATTTACTGCTACGGAATGAAGGGCAAACGGGAGAAAATCCACGTGACCTTCTCAAAGCAAAGGCAAAAGCTGCATATAAAAGGGCGGCTTTGCTTGCGGTCGACACATTCGCTCGTCCGCCGATCACGGTAAGACGGCCGCTCGCTTGGGAAAGATCGCGCTTCTCAACTCTTTGATGCCATTTAAACGAAAGCCTTTTGAGGACAAGGCGTGTATTGCGGTTGGGGAAACGAGGGTGATTTGTGAATTGCTTGTGGCGTGAATGCATAGTTGAAGACGAATTAGAAATGACTTTTCTGATGTTCAGTAGTCGTGCTCTAAACGAGTTGTAAGACAAGTCGCTGTGACTTGTTCTAACTGTTGACTATTTACGTCATTCTGTAAGTATTCGCTTGTGATTTACAGATGAAGTTCTTGGTGTTGTTGGCTTTGCTTGCTGCGGCTGCTGGGGCATTCCGGCGGACACGGGCATTTCCCTCACGGTGGGCATACCCACTTCCTTCCTGTCAGGCATGGATTCAGACACACCACCTCTACCTTCCCGCACCGACCACGCCCCTTCAGACCTGCCGCCCCACCCGTGGCACCTGTGCATCCTGTGGTGCCCCAGCCACCTGCCTCGGGCGTTGCGGTGAGTCTCGAGGCCCTTGTCGCTGCAGTCAGGACTGCTTTCGCACCCTGAAATGATTGGAATATATGCATGTAAAAGGTCCATCATCTGACCTTTTGAAGTATTTGTCCTTTTAAGTTGAATCATTGGAATTTTCTGCCGTCCAAATCGATTCTCGAAAGCCTGCCCTAACATCATTCTCTGCCGACCCACAACAACGGCGGTTCGGCCGACTGCAGGTGGACGACAGGCTGGACGACAGCGAGTACCACTTCTCGTGGCGCCATGACGGCAGCAAGACCTACACGTGGGATGGCGCCAACCAGTACTGCCGCAGCCTCGGCTCCGGCTGGCAGGGAATCAGCATCGAGACTCGAGAGGAGGACAGTCTCGTCAGCAAAGCCATTTCAGGAGGTAATAGTTCAAGCTGATCCTGCTGTGTTTGCGGGATTGACACCCGAGCCTTGAAGTGTCGAGGCTCGAGTCCACGAAGGTATGAGTGTGCAACCTTGCTAAATGCGTGCTCTTTTTGTGTTCTCTTTAGATCTGCTACCGTGGATTTGGACCTCGGGTCACCTCACGGCTTGGACTGGGCTTGGGATTCAGGTGCACAATTCGTGGGTCTGAACTGGTCTCACACCGGCGGGTAAGTGGCTCTTGGCTTTTCCTTTGACTCACACAGCCACAGGCTACACTTTAAAGAAAACTTATAACTGGTTTCCCTGTGACCGCCAGGAATGGTCAAGCACAACCAGACAACCGCGAGCGAGGGGGCGAGAAGTGCCTGGGGGTTCTCAACAACTTCTACAACGACGGCGTCAAGTGGCACGACATCGCCTGCCACCACGACAAGGCCATCATCTGCGAGCGCAAAGCCCGAGTCCACGGATGAGGAGCACGTGCGTCCTGCTTTCTTGTAGAGCGAACGACGTCTGTATTTATACGTATTTATATATGATAATAAAGACCAAATTCCTTAAACTGCATTTCCGTTTTCTCTCCGTTTTCACACAATCTACATGATCAACTCTAAGAGTACTTTTCGCTTCTTGATTCTGACAAAAAGAAAGTGCATATTTTAATTGAATGCAACAGAGCGCACTTTATATATATATATATATATATATATATATATATATATATATATATATATATATATATATATATATATATATATATATATATATATATATATATATATATATATATAGGCCAGAAACTCAAGCACTAAGAATCCTCAGAGGACCAGTGCATGACGTCTGAAAAATCACATTCTTATATATACACCTTTATATATACATATAGATAGCTAGACACCCATATTTGTGTGTATTTATGCACGTACAAATTGGTATATGTAAATATTTACATATATAGACATATATATGTACACATGTATGCCTGCATATATTCATATATATATCTGCACGTGTGTATGTGTACACACACACGATATATATATATATATATATATATATATATATATATATATATATATATATATATATATATATATATATATACATATATGTATATATGCATATATATACATATATTTACATGCATATACATATTTACATATATATGTGTATGTGTATGTACACACACATATATACATATATATATCAAGTGAATGCCCTTGATGACACCTCACACAAACATCATTTTCTTCCTAATTAAGGTGTCTTTCTTAAGAATCAATGCAAGAGCAATCTGCCAAAGGCCACCTAGAGAATCCAATGCAATTGCACTGCAAGGACACTTCTAAAAGTTTTTTTCAGTTCAAGCGAAAAGCTTTCATGTCTTCAAGTTTCCAGTTTTGTATATATTTTCTCCTGCACATAGTTGGTTTCTCTCTCTCTCTCTCTCTCTCTCTCCATCTTTCTCTCTCTCTTTCTTTCTGATCCAATAATAAATTGTCTGATATAAACAGGTAAAAACACGAGAGAGAAGCAGGAGAAAAAAGAAGGTGGTGGAGGGG